GGCACCCAGGGCACGCTGCTGGCTCATGGTCACCCTGTCATCCCCCAGCACACCCAGGTCCCTCTCCGCAGAGCTGCTCTCCAGCAGGTCCGCCGCAGCCTGTCCTGGTGCCTGGGGCTGTTCCTCCCCAGGTGCAGGACCCTGCCCTTGCCCTGACGGTACACTGGAGAAGGTGTCAGTGTGCAGCTGAGGCTGGGAGCTCGGCGCAGTTTCCGCTCAGCTTTAACACGATTTGTGAATCCATGTTTTAGCCCATAACACATCCGTGGTGTGACAGCAGTCAGCAAAGCTGTCATGTCAGCTGGGCAAGGGTCGAGCTGCAGCCCCTGGGGGCAGACCGTGCCCAGCCTTTGGAGGAACCAGCCCGTATTCCTTCCCAAAAGGGGATCCAAGGTTTCTGTTTGATCGCTGGCTGCCTTGCAGCTCCCTTTCTAGACTTTGCCCTTGCAGAGGGAAAGCAAAGTTCCCTTGGGCCGCCTGAAGACGGGAAGCTCAGCCCTCTGGGCGCTCAGCCCGATCCTGCAAGACCAGGCAGGATTTTGCACGTGGCCGACGCTAAGGGTTGTGGTGTTTGGAGGAACTGCAGAGTTTGTAGTGTCTAAAATTAACGCCGTAGGTTTAGGGGCCGGGCCCTGTGCATCGCTGCGGATGCATCGTGGGGCGGCTGCGGCCAAAGCGCGCTGTCGCTCCAGCATTCCGCCCTTGCTGTACCTCGTTGCACGCAGGGGAGGGTCGCTGCGGTCGAGCAACGGCAAATTAAAGCCCCCTGAGCCTTCCTGCGGTGGGTGGTGGGCTTGCAGAATCCGGTGCTGCAGAGGAACCAGCTGGAGCTGGGAGAAGCTATGGGTGGGGAGGCTGCCCGCAGTTAAACAGCTAACGCTGTGGGTGTAGGGATCACCTTGCCTAGGACCCACTGGGGAGGATGACCCCGTGCCTCTCCCCGCAGCAGCCCTGCGCTTCTTGGAGAGTGGGAGTGGGATCCTGGGCTGGATCCCCCCCGGGGAGCCAGGGCTTGCGAGAAAGCCGGGTGCTGGCGTTGTCGGGGCGAGCCTGGGGAAGCAAGGCGTGCAAGGGGGGCTGGAGCCTGGCACAAGCGTTGGGATTTGGGTGGGGTTTCCCTGAAACCCTAGGAGACCTTTGTAGGGACTTCAGCCTGACAGAAAGGGGTTTTTCTGAAGAAATCGGGGCAAAAATGTGTTTTCTTTCAGCCCAGTACATCTCTAAACCACGACTTCCATACAGGCCTTCTGCGTGGCCTGTGCCACAGTGCCCGTGCAGACGTGTTTGCGGGTGTCCAGGAGTGACAGGGGCTGCAGCGAGATTAATCTCCTTGCTCCCTTTGTGCTGCCTCAGTCGGCGGGCCTAGCAGTAGAAATTCCTCCTTAGACCTTTCTGTATTTATTAAGCAAACAAACCTTATGCTGCGCTTCCTCTCTTGAGCGGGGGGTGTCTTGGGGCAGGAGCCCTGCTGCTGTATTTGGAGCTTCCGAGTCCCTTACCTCAGAGAAGCCGAAGGAAGCCAGGCGTCGTGTCGCACGGGAATGCTGTGCTTCCACGCGGATCCGTTCCCGAGAGGCACAGGACGCCGTCGATCCCGGGACAGTCGTTTCTGTGGCACTGGAAGCTGCTGCCTCTTTGGGGGACAGGCAGGGGCCCCCCCGCCCCGCTGCCTGCCAGCGCTCTGCAGTGGCAGGGTCTCCAACCCGGGTGCTGCTCCCGGAGGCACGCCCGGCCCTCGGCAGCTCGCTGCAGCGAGTGTCCTCTAGGCACGGTCCCTCCAGCGTTCCTGGCATCGCCCGTGACTCTGGGCAGAAGGAGCTGGGAGCAAAGCAAAACGCTGGAGAGCGTGCTGTGCCTGGTGGTGCTTTGATGGTGGCTGGTTGTCAGAGCTGCCCTGGGTGGTGGGATCAGAAGGAAGTGCTGAACAGCTTCTCTTCTCCAGGTGTAACTGGAGTTCAGAGGAGCCTGGCCTCTGAGCCTTGCCAGGCTGTCGGGCCGTGGCTCGGGCAGAGCTGGCGGTGCCCTGGTTCATCGCCTCCGACGTCTCTCCGCAGGTGCCGGTACCTGGCGGTCCAGCTGTCCCCAGCCATCCCCGTGTTCGCAGCGGTTCTCTTCCTGTTCGCCATGGCTACACTCCTGCGGGCCAGCTTCAGCGATCCCGGGGTGATCCCCAGAGCCCTGCCGGACGAGGCTGCCTTCATCGAGATGGCTGACCTGCTGCGGGCTGGAAAACCCTCCGTATTCCTGGCAAACCTATAGGCTACGTTCTCTGCTGAGCCTTTCTTCCCAGCTGGGCCTCCAAAAGCAAGGGTTGCTCCAAACGGGGAATCTTACGGCCTGCTGGCTGATTCTGCCGGGCTGGGTCGCAGAACGGTGGGGCGGCGTGCCTGCTTCCCTCTCTGGGGACCTGCTCTGGGCTGTTGTCTCACCTGTAGCTGTGTGCATACGAACTCGGTTTGCTCTGGGGAAAGGGTGTGGGTGGCTTGGTGTGGGCCCCTCCATCTTTCAGGGAGAGAGGAAGCTTGGTGGCTGCGGGTCTGTATGGTGACAGCCCCCTGGCCCTTCTCAGAACGCCCACGAAGGCTCTGCCA